TATATATGATTGCAGTCTTTTACTTTCCTCTACTCATTTAAATGGATTTGCGGACCGCTTGATCTTGGTCTTGTAGAATTTCAAATCATATTTAGGGTGTGTTCGGCAAAAATAGTTGGTAGCGGGTAGCTTGTAGCGGGTAGCGGGTATTCGTTTAAGAATGGGTATATGTGGTTGGATCGGACGGTAGTGGACATTAGTAGTTACTTAAAGGATCCATGACGATCCTAGATGAAAGTACGGATAGGTATGGGAGGTAGTATTGAGCCCGTACTACTGAAAGCACAGGATCCGTACTTGAATCGAGGAAATTTTTTTGGAGATTCTAAGGAGCTGGTTGGGGGTAGATTGTATGGTTTGGCACCATGACTCACTACAGTGTGTTTCTGTCCTTATCGGGTTATCGGTTATGGTTGTTCATGATGAGGATGAGTTTAGTGAATTGTTGGGGCCTTAGTGGCCACATCAGTTTGGGCTTGAATGGTGTAGACCTATATGGGTTAGTTAACTATGAGGTCTTGAGGGTTTTGCTTGAAGAAGTGCCAGTTGAGTCGCGAGACTCGAGAAGTAAGCGATTCTAATGAACGGCTCGAGGTTTGCAGCCGAAGGCTGTGTAGTTTGCAGAAGGATTGAGATGTTACTATTTACAGAAGGAAGTCGGTGTTATTATCACACCCCCAAACCAGAATGGCAGAAACATTCGGGGGCGGAGGACGTCATGTACAGTATCATAACAATGCACAATAGTAAAACAAGCAATAACATCATCCATTACATTAATAATATAATTTAATACAAGTGTGTTCTGTGTAAAGTTTGAAAGATACCAAAATATGTAATCAAAATAAAAGACGAGTCTTCAACATGCTCCGTCTTCTCAAAACCTGGTCCAGTGTACCTGTCTACTGGTGACCTGAGAATACAAGTTATTTTGAAAGAGTAGATCAGCATTTAAGCTGGTGAGTTCATAAGTATTTTAGTGTGAAAAGTTTGCATCTGTTTTACGAAAATGTTTGTAAGTGTTTTGATGTAAAAGTTTGTATACTTCCTAGAAAATCCTATATTTTCTACTAAAATGGGATGTAGTCTTCTACCAAGACCCGACTGTTTTGTAAGTTTGTTTTCTCGTAAAAATGTATGTTTTCCCAAGTTTATGACTATCTTTACTAGAAAATAGTTTGCATTACTCGATGTGAGAATATCACTATATGAATGTAATGGAAAAAATGAAGGTGTACTGTAGTATTGTATAAAATAACTACCGAAGTACTAACTACCTTAAAACCAATAAGTCAAATTAAGGTAAAATGTGATGAGGTTATAACCATGCTTGATTGACTAGTATAAAACACGACGATCAAAAGACGTCGAAATGGTATGACATTTGTCACCCGTAGACATGCAGGTCCCACTGTAGCTAGCAGCAAGGTGTATAATGGTCAATCCCGTATAGATCTATACATAAACTCACGCTCTCCCTCGAGGAGACTCTGGTTACAAAACGTGACACGACATGTATATTTCTATGCCATGAAGTAGTGGCTCACATTATTGTTATCTTGTTCTTGTTATAGAATATATGTTCTTTTCTGTTCATGTTATAGTATGTATGTTCCTTTCTGTTCTAGTTATAGTATGTATGTTCCTTCCTATTCTAGTTATAGTAAGTATGAACTGACTCATGTATGAGTTGACTCATGTAAGAACTGACTCATGTAAGTTTCACTAATATAGAAGTAGTAAGTAGTAATCCTCTAAACTATACCTATTATAGTTTACTAGTATGATTGTTTGACTGTTA